ATGATCGACTCTTCCCCTGCAGGCTCCTGCCTGGACTCCTCCAGCGGGACAGAGGGAGAGATGCAGGTTGGAGAACTAGGGCGCAGGCCCCAGCTGGGGTAAACGGACCCAACGGCTGCAGAGCAACGTGGCCGCAGCCCCCAAACCTCCAAATCCAGGCTCCGGGAGAGAAGATGGAAAGGGCAGCGCCAAGGGGCCCAAAAGCAGGGACGGAGTTGGACAGAGGTGGGAAGGACCAAGTCCTGGGACCAGCCATCTCAGTCAGCCCTCGAAGGTTAGGGCGCAGGCCCCAGCTGGGGTAAACGGACCCAACGGCTGCAGAGCAACGTGGCCGCAGCCCCCAAACCTCCAAATCCAGGCTCCGGGAGAGAAGATGGAAAGGGCAGCGCCAAGGGGCCCAAAAGCAGGGACGGAGTTGGACAGAGGTGGGAAGGACCAAGTCCTGGGACCAGCCATCTCAGTCAGCCCTCGAAGGTCCTGCACAGGATGGCAAACACTGAGGACTGAGCCGCGTAATGGGATGTCCCAGTATTGGGAAGAGCGACTGCAGGAGGAGCTACGGCGCTTACAGACGCCTGCGGAAGTTGTGCCGACACCAGTCTCTGCATCAAAAATCCCGCCGCTGCTGGAGCTGACCCCAGAGGATGACATTGAGGCCTGTCTGGCCTCCTTCGAGCAAGTGGCTGGTGCCTGCCAGTGGCCCAGAGGAGAGTGGGTGACCCGCCTTGTGCCGACCCTCAGTGGGAAAGCCCGACAGGCCATTAGCAGCCTGGATGCCCGAGACGCTGGAGACTACGGGAAGGTGAAGGCCGCCATCCTGCGAGGCTGCGACGTTGGCATGGAGACGCAGCGCCAGCGCTTCCGGCAGTTCCGCTACCAGGAGGCCGAGGGGCCCCGGGCCGTTTTCTGCCGACTCTGGGAGCTCTCCCATCGGTGGCTGAAGCCGGAGATCCGCACCAAGGAGCAGATCATGGAGCTGCTGATCCTGGAGCAGTTCCTGACCATCCTGCCGGAGGAAATCCAGCGCTGGGTTTCTCAGCATTGCCCAGAAACATGTGCCCAGGCCGTATCCCTGGCAGAGGATTTCCAGGTGGGACTGCGACAGGTTGGGATTTGGGAGTAGAAGGTGCAGGGGAACTCCCAGGGGGCTCTTCAGGGAAATTCATGACTCAGGTTTGGGTGCTGGGAGAACACAGGGAGCTCTCAAGGCAAAACGTGAGTGGGGCTTGTTCTGTGTTATCCTGCTCTCAGCACTATGGTCTGTGTTGTTTGGGAACTAAGGGCTCCTTTCTCCGTTATGCTCTGCACACTCTGCCGTTCTCCCTGGGTCTCTCTGTCCTTGCGGGGAGAGGGCTGCAACCTCTCCAATGTCTGGGCTGCCAGGGAGCCCCATGCCCAGGCTGGGGCTTGGTGTGAATCCAGCGTGTGGTGTTGAGGCAGTGTAGGAGGGTTTGATCCTGGGGCCCCAGCCCTGAGCGCCTTCTCTGTGTCACATGCTGCCATTGTGTTTGTGGGGTAAGGGTGTCTGTCACATGGGCTACCTCACCTGGCAGGAGGGGAGTGAGTGGTAGCTGCAGGTACCAGTGAAACTATTCACGAAAAGTCCTGCAGGACATGGTGTGACAAAGTGGGAATTGGGATTTTATTCCCCTTGTTATGTTGCATGTGATTTCTTCTGCCCTATATTAACTCTGTGTGTTCCTCCGTTTTCCTGGCCCTGTTTCACCTAGATAGTGAAGGGAATTTTGTTGTGAAAGCCTTCCCCAGCTGTACAATGGCCCTTTGTAATCTGAGCCCAGGAGGGGTGTGTGACAAGGCGACACCTTTCACCCCTGAAGCAGGACAACAGATAGTACAGAGGCAGGGCTGGCGGCAGAAGGAGATGGGCTGCTGGGGTGTGAGCGAGTCTTGCTGGCTTGGGGTACAGGGAGGGGAATCAAGGCTCTTGGCTCCGAGCCCCCTCTCTCCAAGATGGATTGTACTGACTGGTTCTGGTTTCTGTGGTGACAAATCTGTTCTACGTCATATCCCTGTCAACTAACAAACTTTCTGTTCTACCTGCTGCTGAAAGACGCATCTGGCTGTCAAATGGGGGTGCAGGGCCCGGTGACTCCCCACACTCTGATGACACATGACATGGCTGCTTTCCTTCAGCTCATCCCAGTGATGCTGGGGGGCTTTGTGGGGAGCCAGCCCCTCCCTAAGGTTAAAGCTCCTTCTAGGATCGTATGTTCCAGCTTCAGCTTCCCCTTCCTGTTACGTCTCCCATTAGATACGGGCCCTGCAGGCCAAGCACCGAGCAGGAGCTTTTGCCTGATGAGAGGAAGCCCTTCACCGTGGGCACTAGTCAGGTCTGATTCACCCGTGACTCCCAGCCCCTGGCAGCCCAGTGACCCCTGTGCTTGATTCCCAGGTCACAGTGCGTGTGAAGGTTGAGGACGTGACCCCAGAAGAGATGGATGCCCCTGAAGCATTGGGGGAATCTCAGCGTGCCCTGCAGGAGCCACCGCTGCAGCCCCATCCCACGAGGGGATCCCTGGAGGAGGCGCTGAGGAAGCACGAGCTGCCCTGTGCCCCTGAAAAGGAGCCCCGAGTTGGACAGGAAATGGGTAACCAGCTCTTGATGGGCCTGGGGTGGGTTTTCTCAGGGGCACTGAGAGGACAATGGGAAAGAGAGTGTCTCAGTGGGGAAAGAACACGGGAATGGCTGGCTCAGGCTGCGGGGTGCTCCACAGCAAGGTTGCTGCCTGGGGCACGAGGGAGGCCGCATGCGAGTTTGTGGTGGCCAGTGGGTGTCTCCTAGGACCTAGGTGACAAGTTGCCCAGGCAGTGAGTATGGGCCTGAGGAAGGTGGGTAGCACCGTACCCATGGGCAGCGAACTCTCCTTGTGTGGGTCCTATTCTGTGGTGTTACCCTCCTGGAGACCCCTTTCCCCACCCTCAGGAACTTGCCGGCTACTTCCAGGAGCAGCATGGAGCCATGGCGGGCAGGGAGCCTTCTTAAGCCCCACAGCGCTGCCAGACTGGACTATAGTTTGCCCACTTCTGTCTTAGCTGGTGTTAAATACCCCCTCACCTGTGACCCCCGTATCTGACCTTTCCCCGGCAGGTCCCCCTGTTCTGGGATTGTCCTAGTCAGCTCATGCCCCTCTGCCACTCAGTTTTACCAACACTTACAAGTCAGGATGGATCCAGCTGTAATTATCCCTTGTGAAATTGCAGTGCCAGCCAGGGCCCAAGTGGCCAAGGTGCTGCCAGCAAAGCAGGTGACCTTTCCAGCCTCTGGGGTTGTCAGCTTTCGCCAGGAGTCTTATGTTCACCCCCAGCACAGCCCATCCCCATTCAGCCTTTGACTTTCCATCCTCACCTTTGCCAGTCCTTGGGGCTGCTCCCCAGCCCTACTGATGCTCCCTACCGGGGTAGTGGATGCTCCTTTCCTCACACGGGCTCCTGCAGTCTCAGCATGTGCAGGTGGTGGTTCTCCAGCTGCTTCCTTGAGCGTTCACCTGGCTGTACCCAGCACCTGCACGGCCACCTCAGTCTCACATAGACTTTCTGCAGGGGGTGGATTGGGGATTTACATACCACAGACTGGGCCCATGTGGCTTCTTCTCTAGCCTGATCAGCACCAAGCGGTCTGGCTCCAATGCCTTAGCAGAGAGGGGGGAGTCTGGCTGGCCTGGCCATTCCTCCTGCGTGCGCTACTCCAGCCCAGATCACCCTGCGTCCTCGTCTCTCTGAACTCTGGGGATCTCTGACAGTGGCAGGAACTGGGGCCTGTCTCCTCTCTAGCTTGGGGATAACTGGGAGTGATGGCATAATGAGAGATTGCCTGGAGATGGAACCCAGCATTGCTGTGCTAGTGGCCACAGATATCCTCATCAAGTTACTCACGCAAGCTCAGCTCCCTGCAGTGAGACGCAGTTACAGTGCAGTTCCCCGGCCGGTCTCAGCAGGAGAAACAAGCAGCACACCTGTTCTCTAAAATAGAGCTGTTCAACATTTCTTTGACACAATTTTTTTTTGGCCTATTAAGGACTTTTTTTTCCCTAAAGCAAACTCGTTTTGCACATACTTGCTGGCACTAATAACTTTTTTCACAAGCATATTTGTAGCATTTAGTAAATAAAAGATTGCGTCTAAATGCTTTGTTCTCGGAAAGCCGGCTGTTTCGATAAATGAAAACGTTTTTAAATGGCAAAACCAGGCCATTGGTTCATTTCCTAATGCCACTTTGAAACCTCACAGCTTTGTCCACTTGTTTTTTATCTGGCTCTAACCTTTTAGTGAATTTCTTCTGTAGGAAAGTATCAGAGGGGTAGCCCTGTTAGTCTGAATCTGCAAAAGTGGCGAGGAGTCCTGTGGCACCTTATAGACTAACTGAAGTGTTGGAGCATAAGCTTTTGTGGGCAAAGACCCACTTCGTCAGTAGCCATGTTAACTGGTAACCGGTTTCAGTTAACTGGTAGGGGCTGGAGCAACTACCCACCTGCTACAGGCAGGGAGCTGCTCCAGCTCCGCAGGGCCCACCACAGGCAGGTGCTGCTCCAGCTGGCCAGCCAGAGCAGCCCCTATCTGCAGCAGGCCTGGGCCAAGCTGTGCAACAGGTGTGGCAGCCCCCTACCTTTATTGAGTTAACTGGTTAAACATAATGTTTAACCGGTTAACCAATTAATCAGGATTTTACATCCCTATAGGGAACATCATTGTCACCTAAATAGCAGGGCAAAGGAACCAAAGAGACTGAGAGATTGATTGACAAAAGAGATGATTTGGGTCCTGAATGAGAGAGGAGATGAAAGACTGGTTAGGAAAAGAGGGAAGAGAGAAAAAGATGGAGCTTGGAGGGGAATTGAGTGG